GTTTTCGTATGGAAATAAATATACACCATTTACCGTACATACAATAATAATATAGGTAGTGTGATTCATATCAAAACGCCGTCGTACGCTTTTGTTATTTATGTAAAATATATCTTATAACATATTAATATGACGATTGCTTTCGATATAACTGAAGCAATATCCGTACTTGGGGCATGTATATAGTAGTTATCCATACTCCGAAACGAATGTTTATTTAATCGCTTGCTGAGTTTTTAGCTGGAATATAATATAAGACTTGTCTTCGGAAATATTGCATTTGAAATTATTTGAATAAACGTTGAAAACAATTTCCACCGTCAAATCGATAAGACAGCCTATAACAGTATACTTTTGCGTAGACGCGTTGTACCTTTCAATTAGTGTTTCGAGTTTTAGACTCCAACTCGTCACTACACAGCTGAACTTTGATCGAGTATTCTTTACGCGACTGTGGCCGGCGGGGTAGGCGGCGGGGACTTATACAAACGTAAAAATCTAAAGTTTTCACGTAGTTCGGTTTTTCTGCAAGACCCTCGATGGGGGAGGGGGAGGGGGGGTCGGTCAACACCATGGTGGGTCAGCAATTATCGCACACGATTCCTATACATACGCTTACGGACGACAAGACGTGTGTCTTATTATGTCGACGCCAATCGGAAAAACCGTCGCGTCTGAAGCGCCCTCGGGTCAAAGTCGTCGCCACTCGCCGTCACCGTATACGTTGAAAGCACATCTCTCGCGTTTAACTCGCCCGCGGACTCGGAGACTGCAGCCACCAGACACCGTGCGTCGTATACCCACACTCACCCATCCACACCCACACACACACACACACACACACACACACATATTGCACATTATATACTTACGTCGCATTATTATTATTATTATTATTATGTGCGCTGCTCGGAGAGCTTCGATGCGGAGGTGCAAAATTCGAAGCGTCCCCTCTCAGCGGCGGCGGCGACAACAATAATAATAATCCTTTTGCCGAGCGCGCTGAGAGATTAACCGGCAAACCGACGGTGACAAGCAAACAACGTCGGCGTCAACGTCTATTTAACGTTCAATCAAACAAACGGGCCGGCGGCGGCGCGCGCACGCACAATTATTTCTCGTCGTCGTCGTCGTCCCCGGTGACCGCAAACACGCCGCAGATCGATTGTTTCGGCGGGCGGAAGCTGTAGTACGCGTATTCACGGCGGCGGCGGCGGCGGCTCGCGGTGTGTGCGCATTGTCGTGCAAAGTGTGCGCCCGTGTGGAGTCCGATGGTATAATTATTAATATAATAATATTATACCTAGGTACCGCATGTATGAAATCCTCCTCGGCGATGGCGTCATAATAGTATTATGCGGGTTTAGTGCCGTGTCGGCTGCAGTACTTGACATTTTTCAGAGGCCAGTCTGCAGAATATGAGAATATTCCCGCCCACCACTCGGTGAAGTCTACAGCATATTATTATTGCCGTCGTATTATCAAATATACCTGTGGGTGGCAGTAAATACCGAAATATTAAACCTATGACGATTATCATCGCTTGTTGCAGGACTAAAAACGCGGTTCCCGATCTTGACGACTGAGGTGACGACAATCGTAGAAGATGTGATATTTATATAGGTCCGCCCTGGCCGTGTCACATGCGATGTCCGATTTATGCGGTTGGGTGGTCCGATATACCTATATTATATAGTTCGCGAAAACGCGGTGACTGCGCGGTGATATTGATGCTGCTATAATATTGTAGGTCTTATACTACGATAATTCGATAACGTACGTATACACGACGTGGGTCGGATTATAATTTATTTATTATTGTGATCTGCAGTATAAATAATATGATGCACCTCTCTGAGATTTTCAGACTTAGCATGTCTTTTTCGTGTTTATATAGTCGCGTTTCACGATATCTTACATTGTTAACACTCATAACTAAACTATGAATTGACAGCGTTTCTCTGTATTTTCTAATCAACTTGAAAGCTGAACTAGTCTCATTGACTATTAAAATAATTTTTAATTTCAAGTTTGTTTTTAGATAATCCATCGAATTAATATTAAACAAATGTTTTGAATAGTAGTATTTCAGTATTCAATTAATGTATATTTGAACACTTACTTTGGCGTATTTTTATTTTAAAATCAAATATTTACATACATATTATCACACTATATTATCGTCTATATCAATACCTAAATGGCGCAGGTGTTTACCGATACAATTCGAAAATTCTCAATATACAGACAAGCAATCAAATTATGTGATGACTACTATTTTTATATCTTTTTGAAAATTAACATCGTATACAATGTTCTAGATTGATAACAGATAAAAACTGAAGACTTGCGTTTCATTACTAATAAAACAACACATGAATAATCACCTAAACTTTGAGTCTTTTGCAATACACATCATCCGATTTAGAAGGTCAGATTTTGACAAAAATACTCGACTATAGTTGATCAGTAACTGATAGCATGCAGGTGTTACGCAACATGCAGAAGTTGAGCTGCTGTAATAATTGTGATTCGTTAGTTTACCACCAACTAACGAACCCTGGATAAAACAGAGGAAATAAATTGATTTACACCTCTGATTTATCGAGTTATTATAGTTCAAGTTTGAAAATCCGATTGGCATATTGTCTTTAATCGCCGTGGATCGAGTGCGAAATAATTGTCATCCAAGACCCATCGAAACATACAAAAATATTTTGAACTCGATTGATATAGGTGACTTATGCAAAGTTTCAATTGAAGATTGTGATGCTATGCACTACGGTAGTACGGTCCCGCGCTAGAATACCGTACCTACGGATTAAAGCCACGAATAGGGACAGAAGACATTTGAGGGAATCGAATGAGGATGACTGTACCATATACCAAGTCACATAATATTATGACAAGACACAATATTATAATATTGTATGATAAAAATATAGATATCTGGCTTCTCTGCAGGTTTACAATACTACATATATAGCCAAGTATGTAGGTATATTTTAAACGCCGCTACCTATAATACTATGAGTGAACTATACACATGTATAATAAACGTCCTGGTTTCATGCAATTATATTATATATAATTAAGTAAACCGATCGTGATCGTATTCAATTTTTTTCGATAGCCGATCATTTTATCGATCATATACATACATATAATCAGACAACAGAAACACGGTGAGTTCTAGCTTCTGTGTATATTATATGTTATTGTATACAAATTTAAATAATCGAGAACGCCCTTGGTATGTATAGGTACCTATGGACGGATGGGCAACATATTATACATTCTGTACGACGTATACAAAATTGTACTCATAATAATCATTATACCACACGGCGCACACAAGCGGTATCATTTGGTCATTCGGGCCCGAACGAATTATCTGCGCGTAACACGATATCATTATAATATTATATAGGTAGGTATATTATAATGGGTTTCGAAAACAATATAATATGAGGTGCAGAGACGTCGAAATTTCGTCTCGGGACTTGTACAGGTACCACTCATATTATAATATACGGCATAATGTGCGAGTGTGTGTGTGTGTGTAATATATAATCACGTATATACAGTATAGACGATCAATGCATAATATATAATATTGGTTCGTATTCCGTTGGTATGGGTCGTGTCATTATACATAAGTCGTTCGTACAAACAGGGCAATAGTTATGTGTATATTTAAGCGTAAGGATATAAAAATATTACAACGGGCTACCATCCGGCAATAACGCGTATTATGATAATATATAATATTATACGATATATGTATAAGCGTGCTTATGGATCGCCGAGTATACAATTATTACATATAGGTACTTATCATTATTATACGCGGCAACGTATTCCCGATAAAATTAAATGGATTTTTTTTTCTGATCTCATAGTCACCATGATATAATATCATCATCTTAAATATACGTATACCTACAATATGTGTATAGCTGCAGGTAGTCTACCACAATATAATAATATGGCGACTACTGTCCGCGTACACGACGATATACTCAATAATATTTCGACTACCACAGCCGCCGCCGTTCGATCATATTATTTAGGGTGATGTTCGTTCATACATACACATACAATTAAACCGTGTGGGTAGGTATCCATATAATATGTGGCAGCAGTCGTAGGTCTTTAAGTATTGAACGAGAAACGTTCAGCAGATCGAACCGTGAGCACGATAATCTAGATACGAGACGATTTTTTCATTCTTTCGTTTGATATTTTATCCTCCGAAGAGTGTACAATAATATAACGTAATAATAATACATAATAATAACGCAACGCATCAGCTGCCACCCGCGATCGAGTGTTGTCAGTTCACATAATATAATTATATATATATATATAAATACCTACCTACTTATAAATCCGACATAATGTTTTCAATACAACCCGTTTATACATTATTGTGTACAATCCATTTGATCTATACAGATCGAAGTGAGCACAATATATATTGTACTATGTATAGGTATTAGGTATATAGTATATATTTATATTATTATTGTTTCAGAGTATAAGTACCTATGTATAATACTTATCGACAAATGTTTTTTTTTTTTTTTAACAGGCAAGATTGGACTGCGTGCGAGACGAATAAACGAAAAAATATTGAACACTTTTGTTCCTTTGTCTACACACGCAGTGTGATTCATAAAGTTAACCGCCCTTACATATCACTAATTTTCTTGAACATTTTTTTTATAATTTTTAGGCATATTGTTTTAGTCTGGTCTGAGATCTTCGTGCACTACAGGCGTGCACTAAAAAAGAGAGAAATATATTTATATATGTAGGTAAGCATATAAAAACTCCAAAAATATGCGAAATTATTCAAAATTAAATCGATTCGAAGTTATGGGTAGATACCTGTATGTTTTACACCTTTAAAAGTACTAATAAATTAATATAAATAATCAATATAATACATTTTTTTAATTTTTTAATTTTATTTTTTTATAAATATCGATAAAAAATGTTATTTATTTATTTAAAAAAAATATACATCAGTATTACCTCAGTATCTTATCTATACCTGCCTATACCAGCTACGCTTATGGTTGATATTTTTTAAGAAAGTAAGTATGACAAGGTATGAAATGTTTATCAGTTTGTAGTAATATTTTCGAGTATTCAATAAAGAGGACGGGAATGGGGATGCGAATAACCCACCCGTGGTTGTGTTACGTATAATAATATTAATTATAGCTATATGGACGCAATTTATTTTTATGTTACCAGACTTCAACTATTTCTTTTCTGAGTCAAGCAATACAGTAAGTTGTGGTTTAGTATTATATTTCATTTTCATTTATGTTTGGTTATAATATAAGAAATTGAATTTTTTCGGAGGGATGTCAACTGGAACTCCACAAATCGCGATTGTACGATTTAATCTTTAAAGAAAAACATAACATTTGCCCAATATCATTCATCTAAACACCTTTTGAGCTATTTTTCCTCGACTGCGTTTTCAGACACTCTGAAGTGACCATATTATGATGATTCATATAAGCTTTTTTTTTATTTCAGAGCAAGTTATGAGCATGTAAAAATTGTAAATGTTTATAGTACCTACATTTTAAAATGATCACGATAAAGTCGTAATTAATAACTTCCTCTTCACCAATACTATTGCTCCAATGCGATGACCAAAAATCAGAGTAATTAAATAACGGTTGTAATTTTTCAAATTTCGAACAATCATTGTAAGTTTAAAATGTACCTATAAAAATGCATATAGTTAAAAACGAGTCGTGTTCGTGTATATTCCATATAGGTTTCGCATATCATTACGTACAGGTAATATGATGTCAAAAGGTGCATGTCGAAGAGTGCAGCGGCCCAGGGCGAAGGCCACGATTGCACCCCTACCATAGGCCCCGTGTATTTCGACTCGAACTTGTGTATGACTGCTACAGAAGAACACTACGACGACGACCTGCACAACTGCTGCAACAAGGACGACGACAGCGACGGCGATGACTACGACATAACTCCTAGCCAACGTTAATCCTCCGACAAAGACCCGTCACGGACAGTGGCGTACCGGTGATGGCGTTTGAACTTTGGCTCCCCTTTCTCGTGCGTTAGCCCTTTGATCACGTCTACAACATGTTCTACATCGCAGGTATATATAGATTTATAATGTATAATATTATATACTAGCTGGTCCTGTACACAATATGTTCAGTGTTAAGATATTATACGTTACTTGCGATTTTCGAGACGACGGTTATCGGTGTAGACGGCCGAGGGTTCGGGGTATGATAATATATATATATATATAACCATAATATCGCTATGTACAACTACAGACGTCTGCTCCTCGTTGTTCTATTATATTATATTATTACATATACCTAAGATGTTTCACCAGCTATACCCGCACGGGTTGTGTCTCTACCTTACTTGAGAAGAAACTATTTTACTCTGTTATTTTTAATACTTGAGTGAATATAATATCGACCTAATATCAAAGATAAGAATATCATCTAGAGCACCTAGATAGTTTTTTTTTTAATTTTAAAGCAAGTTGTGAGAATTTTAAAATGTTAAAATGTTTGTAAATATTTAGTAATATAGTAGTTTGTTATTGTTCTCATTATATCATACTAATTACTAAGATGCCATTTAATTTCGTAAGATTATAAAAGCAAATAATAATATAAGTGATATTATAAATACCTATCTCCCAATTTTCGTAGGTTTTCATTAGAATTTAAAAAACTATCAGGGAGTTTTTTTTTGAAAACAATATATAAATAACAATAATAATAATAACCATGCACGGGTGATCATCCTGTTATTAGTCCAATATACTGGTTACAAATCACATAGCTATTTTATATTTTGACATATAAGTATACCTAACAAGTATTACATTGCATTCTCGGACTGTATAATCTGCTGGTATATTGTTGTCCATTTAATTATGGACACACTCTTGTCTCTCCATATGCTTGCGTTATCGATTTATTGCTGTCACTGATACGTGATTATCTGCAAAGGTTACCTGCGTATAATGTAATAATTAATTAGTGGAGGCGCTCTTCGGCGCGTGGGTAGGCCACTGTTTTGGGTGGGCCACTGTATTATAGGTGGGCTACTGCTAGAGTGGGTGTGTATTAGAGGCGTGCGTTCTCGTACGTGTAACCTATTATTATAAAATTCTAAAATCTATTCCGACCGAAGTCGATTTTGCAACGTGCAAGGTTCTCTACACATTATAATATTATGATGATGTATATATAGCTTTAAACTTTTAAGAAGTTTTGAGTTTTGATTGTTTTCGTAAATCGATCATATTTCACAATAGAGAAATATTTAAATATATTATGAACAACGTGTATATATGTATCTATATATTACGTAATATTATATACCATCGAAATATAACATACTTTATATTGGAAACGATCGAGTATCTATTACTTTTTTATGGTAGGTACCTACATACTGGTTTGTTGCAATGAATTCGAATGAAAAAAAAAGTGTTTTCCTTAGGAAAATAAAAGCACATAACTCATATATCTCCTCTGTAATAGATTATAATAACTGTACAGTATTCAAAATATTATTACATACCAGTATACCACTCGTTGTTGTTATGAATCGAAACAGCGAGTATTTTGTTCACTAAAATAATATTACATAGTATAATATTATATATTACTGTAATATAATTTATAGACAGGTACCTACAACTGTCATACAAACGTCGTCGTTATTATTGTTGTTAAAAACGTTTTCTTTTCATTACGGTACATATACTTCACCAAAGAAATTGCAAAATTTGAAATCAAAATAACACAATGTACCTATATAAACTTAACGAAGTATGCACGCAACCACGGAGAGCCGTATTTAAGTTTGGTGACGCCACTTCCTAAAAAAAAATGGAACATTTGCATTAGTTTAAAAAAAAACTTTCGAAATATAAAAAATATGTTCAAATACATTTACATTTACTACTTGCTAGATAATTACTAATAACTATACTTGTATTTATATATGAACTCAAAGTAGATATAAATAATTACTAACGACTTATACATAGTTACATTGTATTAACAGGAATTGTTTACAAAATGTTTTTTTTTGCAATTGTGTTTAATAATCTTAAATTTATTTAATTGGATGTTTTGCATACAGTGGAGAAAATATAATTTTTTTTTAAATTGGTATACGATCAACTTATTCTTCATCCTCTATTCAATTCTCATGATTTTTACCTAAAAACAAAAATACAAAAAATAAAAACCAAAATAAAATAAAATATATTTTAGAAGTTATTTCATTTGTTTTAAATGCTAACATATTATACATGTTCAGTGAACATTTCAAGTCTCTGCAGTTACTCATTTTCGAGTTAAATCAAAAAAACTTTGTCTAAAACTTTTAGAACACTATTTATCTAAATATTCCCATAATTTTCTTATTTTTTGCTACCAGAAATCACACTCAATTTTGAAAATCAATGATGATTAAGAGTTTTCACTTTTCACTGCTACATTAGGTTTAAGATACACAAAAATAAAAACGAAATTTACAAAAATGTACCTTGTAAATCGAATATTAATACATTCATCACTCAGCTTAGAATCTAAAAGGTCTTCAAACCAAAATTATGTTAACTATATATTTTTACATTTATTACTGTTTTTTTCTTTCAAAAATTAATTTCTGTGTAAATAGAATATTATAAATTTTGGTTTGGTTTATTTATATTGAAAATGGTTCTGCACCAACTCACCGCATATTTAAACAAAACAAACCAGTGAAAATTTATTGAAAAATATTAATTCAAGATACCATACTTGAAAACTAACAGTCATCATATAAAATATAGTGAATTGTTAAAATAAAATTGTTTGTATACATCGCATTAAATATAATATATATGTAAAATAAAAGTATTATATAAGTAGTATTGAAATGTGCACACATACATGTACTATACAATATCTATATTCTATATCTATATACTTACCGATACATGTAAACATCATTGTGATTAGTTTAATACGTCAGTTTCCGCTTCAAACAAAATTTAGTTAATGGATACAAATATTGTAATAAGACGTAAATGCTTCGGTCACCATTAAGTATTTAAATTGTAAAGAGTTTTACTGATGTATAGCTAAGAATAGTTTTCATCGCAGTTTGATACATTTTTCATTGACTTCAAACAATCGGAGTTTTTATTTTTCATTCATAGTTATTTCGTAGGGTGTTAATACCCCCTGGGAAGGGAACTTACATCTTAACTGGATTTATTCAAGGGGATCTAATTTTTGGTATTTTCCTTCTTTTATCACTCTTACCACTCTCTCCAATCTAACACAATATAGCCACCACGAAGGGAATAAACACAAATTTAATCAACTGGCGAAATACACGACGAACGAAAATAACGGCAAGTTATGGTGATGGCGGAGGTGTAGTGGGTGTGAGATGGATACGAGAGAGGAGAAAAGACTCCGAGAAGACAATTGAACTTGCTATTTCTGGTGGTTTTTATTTCCACTCTACTCGCTGCCGCTACCACCGCCAACAATATACAATGTATAATAAAAATAATGCAATACTATAGCCCTGTAGCGCCAGCTAAAATGAAATTAAAAACTTTCACGTCTCTTCGGATTCAAAAGAGGCACAAGCCTTAGTAGTTTTTTATCTTACCACCCCTTGTTCCCTTAAGTATATACCACGTAAAAGAAAACACCGATAAATAAATTTGAATTCATCTTGTAGCGTATTATATTGTGCCACAAATCTGTGGCTACACGATATTCAATACTATATATTACAATTATATTATATTTTTCCACAAGACAAACGATTATAAAAAATAAATAAATGAATAATTCTAAGTTGATCAAAATCAGCACATTGCCAGATTTTGCCTACATATCAATAATTGTAATATTATCATAGGTACACTGCAGTGGGACTCGTCAACCATCGTGTTCGTCGTCGTAATGCATGGTACACCCATCCTGCAGCCATTATTAGGTAAGTCTATAATATATTCCCCGTCTGAACCTTGAAAAGTATAAATGATGTTAAATACTTTATGGAAGAGACCAATCCACTTTTATAATAACATGAGATTCTCTAATTTTTAAAAATCACAAAAAACATTTAAATAATTTTAGTTTGATTTCAAGTCAGTAATGTTTTAATTATTGAAAAAATGCAGTCATATTATAGATTTACAGTTATGCTAACAAAATAAATGATGTACAAAATTTCAATGATGAGCGAATTTATTTTACAGAAAACATATTACGATTTACGAGACCTACCTATACGTTTTATACCTATTCTCTGCAGTTGTTTTCTCGACGTTGTGTTTAAAAATTAAACTACAATGTGTAAAATGCATATTGTCATAAAGTTAATTTTAATGATATAGCATGCATGTTCATTGCTCACACGTACCACTGTAATAAATTAAGTTAAATTTAATAAATAACAGCCATTTGACATGGCAACATCATACAAACAGTCATCCCTAAAATAGGTATAGCACTGACGACAACGGATCTGTCAGTCAATTCATATTCATAATAGCTCGTCGCCTTTCCCTGTGGAGTGTGATTCCGGGAGTATTACCTTTTTTGGATAAGACTTAGAGCAATGCCGAAATTACAAAGAACATGATTTTGAATCTTTTAAGATGTACGACTGTTCTCAAAATTCGAAACGATGTTGCCGAATTTTTGATGACAAATTTCAGTTGTTTTACAATTATTTTTAAATTTTAAATATCTACATATACAAATACATTCATTCAAAAAGTAATAAAAAAAATGTACTCAAATACTTTTCAACAACTTTTTTTTTATCATTGCCTTGAAAAAAATATTTCTAAACCTAACTGAACAATTTACTAATCACAGAAGGAAACAGCAGTGTATATACAATATTTAATATAAAGAAAAGTATAAACCAAAAAATGTAAAAACCTCTGCAGGCTTATATGTTACTGCATGCAGTTATTATTGATATTTAGTATCACAGATCTATAAACCAAGGTGGATATATTTACCTTGCTATAAACTCAGTGTATAGGTCTATGGTTTGTACTATGCACATAGGATCAGATATATGATATATCTATAAATACACCATCCACAACATCCCCGGGGCAATGTTTCTGGAAAACGCCGTTCGTACAATGTATGTGGCCACTATAAATATTTAATAAAATAAAATATTATTGAAATATACCTTGACAATAAAGATTTTTTGCCAGTTCGCAGAATCCTTGCAAGACATATCCGCTGCTGCCTGCAATTCAACTGCGCACAATATATACTTGTTTAATATTATTTGTATATGATAGGCACATATAATATAACAAAAAAACCATTGAAATGTTGTATCGTTGTGATAATCCATATAGGTAATACACAAATATTATACCGCAATTAGCCTTATATCATTAGCCTTACAGCTCTGTAAATGTTTCGGCTTCCACTGTCACCAGCATCTGTTAATCACGGTCCCGGATCATTTTCTCCCTATTTTTTACTTGCCGTCGTTACTTACCAATATTTGCTTGGCCTGTCTCTGCATATATGTAAGGTCCACGCTGCAAGGTGCTTAAGGTGTTCGTTATGATCAATATTCGCTACACCTCGCATCGCAGATCTAAGTTACACTTTCTATTCAAAAGAAGTGTCTTGACAATAACAAGATGTCCACCGGTCCATAGATCCGTGACGGGTGGTCTGAAAATATCTAACCGAATCGGAATATTTTGACCATTATAATGACTCGGGGTCCGACCTAGGAGCAGTGCGTATACAATATATAGGTGGTAGGTACAGACTATATTATTATTATTGTGCGACTTTCAGCGGCATAATGCAATATCATATTTTTATCGACTGTTACATCGCGCGGGTATCTATATATGTGCCGACATATATTTATATTTTTAAACGATATAATAATGAACGTTACAGACTCGCCGTTTGTCGCTCCACATTCGTATATATGCGTATACAATATGAATAACAATATTTATACTTAATACAATCATCGCAGGACAAAAACGGCGGTGGTCGACGGCGCACTTGCCGCGGCCGTTTTGTCACGGTCGGATTTTTTTCCGGCCAGATGGCTATATAAACGTATCGTATAATATTGTTATATATAGGTACACACACAAACGTTCACCCCACCGCCGTCGACGTGTGTCGTACACATATACGTACACTGTATTAACATCTTTATGAAACCATAAATTAGTTACGCGATCTCCGGTTTTTTACGTTACAAAGAGAGGGCGTGTCGCAGCGTGTGTGTGTTTAAAAAAAAAAAAAAAAACAAAATAAAAGTACGACTCGTACACCATTATACGGTCTATTATGCATACGCGGGCAGTGTGTGTGTGTGTGTGTGTGTGTGTGTGTGTGTGTGTGTGTGTGTGTGGGTGTGTTTGTGAGTATATTTAATATCGTATAATATCTACCCTCGTCCGATATGTGCGCGAGTATATCGTACACGTATATAACGTACAATATTATATGTATACCGGACGACCCTTGTTCTGCAGCGTAATTTTATATATTATTATAATATAGTCGTCGTCGAGGGGTCGCTCGGAGATACCATCATCGACTTTGCGCCGTACCTACCCATATATTATAATATCACAGTAAATTTAGTATAGTAACACAATATATACATATTATTATATACATTATATTGTATCGTCATCGTCGTGATATCGATATTGTTGTAAAATCGTAGGCATGTTGTATGGGTGATGACTCTGTCAGATAATATACTTGTATATTATGCTCTATTATTGGGAGTACAATATTACATTGCGTGCTTGTATATGCTACACGCGCATATTAACTGTCCGAAAACCGTGTAAGCAAAGTGGCTTACGCGAGTACCTGTGGTCAGTACTAGTTTCTCTGAGAAAATTAGCCCCGAATAATTTTCCTGTGAGGGCGGACGGAGCAGACCGGCTACAGCCGGTACAAGTCTCAAAAGTGTGTAGTTGCAAAAGTTCCACGTGCAGTCTTTGCAATAGACGTGGCCCGTAAATAAACTAATATTACATTTACTCGTGGTTCAGTATACTTTGAAATTAATATTTATACCTAGTTTCAATAATCGTGTACAGTCTTGTTCACCGAGACGCCTGAGAACACCATCCAAAAGTCGACTACACATACATTGATTACATCGCTGTAGAAAAAGTGGCTTTACGGAGTGCGCGACTTTAAATTTATATCGTACATGCTTTTAAATGTTGACTTCTCGGACTAGAAACCATATTGTTTTTAAACGGCGTGACTAAGCGGTGTCCACGGATTAAAATATCTACAAATACACGAATCGTGAGCAGATTTCCAATTACGACATCGACATTCACTTGACCACATGTGAATGCATAGATTTATTATTCAAAATTCAATATTAAATAAGGCTATATTCCTCAGGTTATATACTCCGCGGTTTCCGAATAACATAACGATATTGTCGGTAATGCGTAGGTATATCCACAAAATAATAGGAAGGTATATTGTATGTAGGTTATATAGGTAGATTATATATTAATTTATCGTTGTATATTTTGTTAAATACATTATTGGATACGCCTCTTAAGCATTGGTCACCACTTACTTAACGAATACTATTTTTATTTGTTATTCCGTACTCATAAAATACTAGCAAAGCAAGACTTTTGAATACCTTCTTACTTTACTTTACTTTGCTTTTAATAAACTGGCATTAGCTGTTTATTCACAAGTTTTTAAAACAATTAGTTAATCATAATAGTTTTAAATGTCTTTTATTTTAAAATATACATTATTCATTAAGTGTAAGCAAGTAAAGCTACTGTAATTTACAAAAACCATTCCTAATCGCGTCACTCAGCTTTTGAATATTATCTCTGTTTATTTGTATCAACGCTATATCAACTACACAATGCATATTTTATAATATTTACTCTCACATTTTTTAAATGTTTTTAATTATACCTACACATTTAAATTATTAGGTTAAATATTTCTTTAAAAAATATATGGAATTATGAAACGTGTAAAATGTTAAATTTGGGCCCTGATAATGAATTTATCACTGGTCGCACGAGAGATGCTCAAAGTTTATTTTAATCGTCGAAGAGCGTATCCTACTCGAACACGTACCTAAATCTTATGTTGATATCGGCTGTATCAGGTGCGTCCCTGAAACAATTTTTAGGGGGGGAGGGTGAAAACTAAAGTCTTATAATATTTATTTCTATAAGTATTATGTATATTGTACATATTATATTTTTTTTATAAGAGGACGCATGACGTATCGCTCCCCCGAGCATTGTCTCACACTTATTATTTCCTTGTCTTATACAATTTGATTTATTTATACACACATAAACAGTTACAGAATAATTAATAATACAAAATTAACAATATTTTTAAAAAAGCTTTGAGGAGTGGGAGCGACTATCACATTTGGTTCCTTGGAAGACGTCTCTGGTCTGCACAACACTACAGACAGACTTGTACTTGAAAATTAAAATTCGGCAAACCCGTTGAGTATTATTCTTATTATATACCTGTCATTTCGATTTCAACCTTTATCTATTAAACGTATATAAATAGGTAAATCATAAAATAAGGTAAGCCTAGAGGTTTTACGAGACTTATTATTGGGTCTCAAATAATATACACCAACGGTTACGCCGTACCTTAGGATTTCGAACTGTATTGAATATTTTCCAAATTTCACCCCTACCGCACGTCGTCTTGGCATGCATCTCTCAGCCAACTCTCTGTGGAACCGCCACAAACCCTCAACCCTGCCATCACCGCAAACCGACCACCCCTAACCCCTCCATACACTCGCGTTACGTATTTCATATACGCCGTATAGGACCGTGCAATAGTTAATACGATTTGTTTTTATATTTTTTTCCTCCCCGACCGTCGCTAAACGGATCGGTCGTATCGGCGGCGGCGTCTCATGAATTTTTATCGGATCCCGACCAAGTGTCCCCAGAGACGACCGCACACGCGCACATATCGTTATGTACTGCACACACGGCCAGATGCATGACATTTTATAAGTATACATTGCATGCGCGGACCGTGCACGACCGCCGCCCCGACTATACACACATAAATAATTATTGCGGTCCGTCAAACCTGACACCCCTACACATTTGTATAAATACCGAGTATACGACTATATAATTTTATGATAATATCTTTTATCAACATTCGAGGCGGCGGCGGCGGCGGCCCCCCGTATTTCGCGGTCGGTCTTTTGTACGTTTTCCGTCGCTAAACGCCCGCAACCATATTATCATGATATATTGATATATATATATATATATATATATTTAACATTACTGTAGAGTTAATAGTCATATGTACCACCGCTGCAGTAGTCCACTATTATTATACAATAAAACGATCGCGTAGTATATAATACTAATTATAATCAGTATGACGACGATTGGACTGGAGACTTGGAGATCTGCACCGTTACACGCGATTCGGGTTATAGGAAATATCGGAACGACGGGTGGACTGGCCCACTGATCACTGCGGCGAACTTTTGTAATATTAATATTATTATAATTCATTATACAGGTATCATACAAAAAACGTGTTGGTTTTTACTTTTTAATAACTTCATTTTAATTAAAAAGTTGATTAAATAATTAAAAGCTATACATAGTAAATGCCTTTATATTTTATTTTGTTTTCTCCTATACAACAATGAGTTTTC